TTTTAGCTTACCCTCACACGTAGTCCCCGTCCAGCCATCAGCACAGACACAAGTAAAGGTGTTGTCTCCATCAGTGCAAACTCCTTCATTCTTACAAGGAACGTCAAAACATTCGTCGGTATCTGTGCCAAATGAGTTCCAAAGATAAAGAATGTGATAAAAGTGAAAAGAAAATAATTCCCATTTTGACAGATTTTTCATTATTTGGGGGAAAATAGGAAAATATAATATGATCTGATATTTTTAAATTCAAAGCAATGACTGTAGAGGAACAGTTTAGTTCATGTATAAAACAACTAAAAAGTTATCAAATGAGATAAATTAACTGAAGGCCTCCTTTAAAATTCGTATTCATTTCAAAATCGTAGCATGAGATAGAAAATATTTTTTGGTTCAAATCAAATTTTGGAATAAACATCAATGTGCTCCTGCAAGGTAAAAAAGGAAAGGAAAACATAACATCTTTCATTTGGGATGAGAAAAGAATGTCCTTTGCAAGGTCTAAGTTTAAAGACACCTAAAATAAAAAAGATCAATCTTGATGATTAGGATGAAATTAGCTACTCTTATCTTCCCCTAATTTTAAAAAGATTGTTGTGGGAAATACAATATGAAAACTGCTCTTTAAATGACCATGCACTCTTATTATCCATGTGTCTACTTAAAATCAAAAGAAGTATAGTTTCTCTCATTACAGCTCCAACATTTAAGACACCCTCGCTTCTTTTGGCCGTACTTTTACTTCTGTTCACTCTTAATTTAAAATAGGCTTCTAAGATTTTCCTCTCCAATTACTACATGTCTTCTCCATTTCTTTCCTTGTTCACCTTTGATTTTTTTTTAAGAAGAGCAAGGAGGCATTGCAATACTTAAAAACTGTTTAATAGAGTGTATATAGGCATGTTCTCTGATTCGACTTTTAAGCTTACCTTCACACGTAGTCCCAGTCCAGCCATCAGCACAGACACAAGTAAAGGTGTTGTCTCCATCAGTGCAAACTCCTTCATTCTTACAAGGAACGGCAAAACATTCGTCGGTATCTGTGCCAAATGAGTTCCAAAGATAAAGAATGCAATAAAAGTGAAAAGAAAATAATTCCTATTACTAGATGTTTTCTCCATTTCTTTCCATGCTCACCCTTGATCTCTTTTTTTAAGAGCAAGGAGTCATTGCAATACTAAAAAACTGTTTAATAGAGTGTGTAAAGGCATGTTATCGGATTCGACTTTTTGGCTTACCCTCACACGTAGTCCCAGTCCAGCCATCAGCACAGACACAAGTAAAGGTGTTGTCTCCATCAGTGCAAACTCCTTCATTCTGACAAGGAACGTCAAAACATTCGTCGGTATCTGTGCCAAATGAGTTCCAAAGATAAAGAATGTGATAAAAGTGAAAAGAAAATAATTCCCATTTTGACAGATTTTTCATTATTTGGGGGAAAATAGGAAAATATAATATGATCTGATATTTTTAAATTCAAAGCAATGACTGTAGAGGAACAGTTTACTTCATGTATAAAACAACTAAAAAGTATCAAATGAGATAAATTAACTGAAGGCCTCCTTTAAATTTCGTATTCATTTAAAAATCGTAGCATGAGATAGAATATATTTTTTGGTTCAAATCAAATTTTGGAATAAACATCAATGTGCTCCTGCAAGGTAAAAAAGGAAAGGAAAACATAACATCTTTCATTTGGGATGAGAAAAGAATGTCCATTGCAAGGTCTAAGTTTAAAGACACCTAAAATAAAAAAGATCAATCTTAATGATTAGGATGAAATAAACTACTCTTATCTTCCCCTAATTTTAAAAAGATTGTTGTGGGAAATACAATATGAAAACTGCTCTTTAAATGACCATGCACTCTTATTATCCATGTGTCTACTTAAAATCAAAAGAAGTATAGTTTCTCTCATTACAGCTCCAACATTTAAGATACCCTCGCTTCTTTTGGCCGTACTTTTACTTCTGTTTACTCTCAATTTAAAATAGACTTCTAAGATTTTCCTCTCCAATTACTACATGTCTTCTCCGTTTCTTTCCTTGTTCACCTTTGATTTTTTTTTAAGAAGAGCAAGGAGGCATTGCAATACTAAAAAACTGTTTAATAGAGTGTATATAGGCATGTTCTCTGATTCGACTTTTTAGCTTACCTTCACACGTAGTCCCAGTCCAGCCATCAGCACAGACACAAGTAAAGGTGTTGTCTCCATCAGTGCAAACTCCTTCATTCTTACAAGGAACGGCAAAACATTCGTCGGTATCTGTGCCAAATGAGTTCCAAAGATAAAGAATGCGATAAAAGTAAAAAGAAAATAATTCCCATTTCTAGATGTTTTCTCAATTTCTTTCCATGTTCACCCTTGATCTCTTTTTTTAAGAGCAAGGAGTCATTGCAATACTAAAAAACTGTTTAATAGAGTGTGTATAGGCATGTTATCGGATTCGACTTTTTAGCTTACCCTCACACGTAGTCCCCGTCCAGCCATCAGCACAGACACAAGTAAAGGTGTTGTCTCCATCAGTGCAAACTCCTTCATTCTTACAAGGAACGTCAAAACATTCGTCGGTATCTGTGCCAAATGAGTTCCAAAGATAAAGAATGTGATAAAAGTGAAAAGAAAATAATTCCCATTTTGACAGATTTTTCATTATTTGGGGGAAAATAGGAAAATATAATATGATCTGATATTTTTAAATTCAAAGCAATGACTGTAGAGGAACAGTTTAGTTCATGTATAAAACAACTAAAAAGTTATCAAATGAGATAAATTAACTGAAGGCCTCCTTTAAAATTCGTATTCATTTCAAAATCGTAGCATGAGATAGAAAATATTTTTTGGTTCAAATCAAATTTTGGAATAAACATCAATGTGCTCCTGCAAGGTAAAAAAGGAAAAAAAAACATAACATCTTTCATTGGGATGAGAAAAGAATGTCCTTTGCAAGGTCTAAGTTTAAAGACACCTAAAATAAAAAAGATCAATCTTGATGATTAGGATGAAATTAGCTACTCTTATCTTCCCCTAATTTTAAAAAGATTGTTGTGGGAAATACAATATGAAAACTGCTCTTTAAATGACCATGCACTCTTATTATCCATGTGTCTACTTAAAATCAAAAGAAGTATAGTTTCTCTCATTACAGCTCCAACATTTAAGACACCCTCGCTTCTTTTGGCCGTACTTTTACTTCTGTTCACTCTTAATTTAAAATAGGCTTCTAAGATTTTCCTCTCCAATTACTACATGTCTTCTCCATTTCTTTCCTTGTTCACCTTTGATTTTTTTTTAAGAAGAGCAAGGAGGCATTGCAATACTTAAAAACTGTTTAATAGAGTGTATATAGGCATGTTCTCTGATTCGACTTTTAAGCTTACCTTCACACGTAGTCCCAGTCCAGCCATCAGCACAGACACAAGTAAAGGTGTTGTCTCCATCAGTGCAAACTCCTTCATTCTTACAAGGAACGGCAAAACATTCGTCGGTATCTGTGCCAAATGAGTTCCAAAGATAAAGAATGCAATAAAAGTGAAAAGAAAATAATTCCTATTACTAGATGTTTTCTCCATTTCTTTCCATGCTCACCCTTGATCTCTTTTTTTAAGAGCAAGGAGTCATTGCAATACTAAAAAACTGTTTAATAGAGTGTGTAAAGGCATGTTATCGGATTCGACTTTTTGGCTTACCCTCACACGTAGTCCCAGTCCAGCCATCAGCACAGACACAAGTAAAGGTGTTGTCTCCATCAGTGCAAACTCCTTCATTCTGACAAGGAACGTCAAAACATTCGTCGGTATCTGTGCCAAATGAGTTCCAAAGATAAAGAATGTGATAAAAGTGAAAAGAAAATAATTCCCATTTTGACAGATTTTTCATTATTTGGGGGAAAATAGGAAAATATAATATGATCTGATATTTTTAAATTCAAAGCAATGACTGTAGAGGAAAAGTTCAGTTCATGTATAAAACAACTAAAAAGTTATCAAATGAGATAAATTAACTGAAGGCCTCCTTTAAAATTCGTATTCATTTCAAAATCGTAGCATGAGATAGAATATATTTTTTGGATAAAATCAAATTTTGGAATAAACATCAATGTGCTCCTGCAAGGTAAAAAAAGAAAGGAAAACATAACATCTTTCATTTTGGATGAGAAAAGAATGTCCTTTGCAAGGTCTAAGTTTAAAGACACCTAAAATAAAAAAGATCAATCTTGATGATTAGGATGAAATTAGCTACTCTTATCTTCCCCTAATTTTAAAAAGATTGTTGTGGGAAATACAATATGAAAACTGCTCTTTAAATGACCATGCACTCTTATTATCCATGTGTCTACTTAAAATCAAAAGAAGTATAGTTTCTCTCATTACAGCTCCAACATTTAAGACACCCTCGCTTCTTTTGGCCGTACTTTTACTTCTGTTCACTCTTAATTTAAAATAGGCTTCTAAGATTTTCCTCTCCAATTACTACATGTCTTCTCCATTTCTTTCCTTGTTCACCTTTGATTTTTTTTTAAGAAGAGCAAGGAGGCATTGCAATACTTAAAAAACTGTTTAATAGAGTGTATATAGGCATGTTCTCTGATTCGACTTTTAAGCTTACCTTCACACGTAGTCCCAGTCCAGCCATCAGCACAGACACAAGTAAAGGTGTTGTCTCCATCAGTGCAAACTCCTTCATTCTTACAAGGAACGGCAAAACATTCGTCGGTATCTGTGCCAAATGAGTTCCAAATATAAAGAATGCAATAAAAGTGAAAAGAAAATAATTCCTATTACTAGATGTTTTCTCCATTTCTTTCCATGCTCACCCTTGATCTCTTTTTTTAAGAGCAAGGAGTCATTGCAATACTAAAAAACTGTTTAATAGAGTGTGTAAAGGCATGTTATCGGATTCGACTTTTTGGCTTACCCTCACACGTAGTCCCAGTCCAGCCATCAGCACAGACACAAGTAAAGGTGTTGTCTCCATCAGTGCAAACTCCTTCATTCTGACAAGGAACGTCAAAACATTCGTCGGTATCTGTGCCAAATGAGTTCCAAAGATAAAGAATGTGATGAAAGTGAAAAGAAAATAATTCCCATTTTGACAGATTTTTCATTATTTGGGGGAAAATAGGAAAATATAATATGATCTGATATTTTTAAATTCAAAGCAATGACTGTAGAGGAACAGTTTAGTTCATGTATAAAACAACTAAAAAGTTATCAAATGAGATAAATTAACTGAAGGCCTCCTTTAAAATTCGTATTCATTTCAAAATCGTAGCATGAGATAGAAAATATTTTTTGGTTCAAATCAAATTTTGGAATAAACATCAATGTGCTCCTGCAAGGTAAAAAAAGAAAGGAAAACATAACATCTTTCATTTGGGATGAGAAAAGAATGTCCTTTGCAAGGTCTAAGTTTAAAGACACCTAAAATAAAAAAGATCAATCTTGATGATTAGGATGAAATTAGCTACTCTTATCTTCCCCTAATTTTAAAAAGATTGTTGTGGGAAATACAATATGAAAACTGCTCTTTAAATGACGATGCACTCTTATTATCCATGTGTCTACTTAAAATCAAAAGAAGTATAGTTTCTCTCATTACAGCTCCAACATTTAAGACACCCTCGCTTCTTTTGGCCGTACTTTTACTTCTGTTTACTCTCAATTTAAAATAGGCTTCTAAGATTTTCCTCTCCAATTACTACATGTCTTCTCCGTTTCTTTCCTTGTTCACCTTTGATTTTTTTTTAAGAAGAGCAAGGAGGCATTGCAATACTTAAAAAACTGTTTAATAGAGTGCAAATAGGCATGTTCTCTGATTCGACTTTTAAGCTTACCTTCACACGTAGTCCCAGTCCAGCCATCAGCACAGACACAAGTAAAGGTGTTGTCTCCATCAGTGCAAACTCCTTCATTCTTACAAGGAACGGCAAAACATTCGTCGGTATCTGTGCCAAATGAGTTCCAAAGATAAAGAATGCAATAAAAGTGAAAAGAAAATAATTCCTATTACTAGATGTTTTCTCCATTTCTTTCCATGCTCACCTTGATCTCTTTTTTTAAGAGCAAGGAGTCATTGCAATACTAAAAAACTGTTTAATAGAGTGTGTATAGGCATGTTATCGGATTCGACTTTTTGGCTTACCCTCACACGTAGTCCCAGTCCAGCCATCAGCACAGACACAAGTAAAGGTGTTGTCTCCATCAGTGCAAACTCCTTCATTCTGACAAGGAACGTCAAAACATTCGTCGGTATCTGTGCCAAATGAGTTCCAAAGATAAAGAATGTGATAAAAGTGAAAAGAAAATAATTCCCATTTTGACAGATTTTTCATTATTTGGGGGAAAATAGGAAAATAATATGATCTGATATTTTTAAATTCAAAGCAATGACTGTAGAGGAACAGTTTAGTTCATGTATAAAACAACTAAAAAGTTATCAAATGAGATAAATTAACTGAAGGCCTCCTTTAAATTTCGTATTCATTTAAAAATCGTAGCATGAGATAGAATATATTTTTTGGATAAAATCAAATTTTGGAATAAACATCAATGTGCTCCTGCAAGGTAAAAAAAGAAAGGAAAACATAACATCTTTCATTTGGGATGAGAAAAGAATGTCCTTTGCAAGGTCTAAGTTTAAAGACACCTAAAATAAAAAAGATCAATCTTGATGATTAGGATGAAATTAGCTACTCTTATCTTCCCCTAATTTTAAAAAGATTGTTGTGGGAAATACAATATGAAAACTGCTCTTTAAATGACGATGCACTCTTATTATCCATGTGTCTACTTAAAATCAAAAGAAGTATAGTTTCTCTCATTACAGCTCCAACATTTAAGACACCCTCGCTTCCTTTGGCCGTACTTTTACTTCTGTTCACTCTCAATTTAAAATAGGCTTCTAAGATTTTCCTCTCCAATTACTACATGTCTTCTCCATTTCTTTCCTTGTTCACCTTTGATTTTTTTTTTAAGAAGAGCAAGGAGGCATTGCAATACTTAAAAACTGTTTAATAGAGTGTATATAGGCATGTTCTCTGATTCGACTTTTAAGCTTACCTTCACACGTAGTCCCAGTCCAGCCATCAGCACAGACACAAGTAAAGGTGTTGTCTCCATCAGTGCAAACTCCTTCATTCTTACAAGGAACGGCAAAACATTCGTCGGTATCTGTGCCAAATGAGTTCCAAAGATAAAGAATGCAATAAAAGTGAAAAGAAAATAATTCCTATTACTAGATGTTTTCTCCATTTCTTTCCATGCTCACCCTTGATCTCTTTTTTTAAGAGCAAGGAGTCATTGCAATACTAAAAAACTGTTTAATAGAGTGTGTAAAGGCATGTTATCGGATTCGACTTTTTGGCTTACCCTCACACGTAGTCCCAGTCCAGCCATCAGCACAGACACAAGTAAAGGTGTTGTCTCCATCAGTGCAAACTCCTTCATTCTGACAAGGAACGTCAAAACATTCGTCGGTATCTGTGCCAAATGAGTTCCAAAGATAAAGAATGTGATAAAAGTGAAAAGAAAATAATTCCCATTTTGACAGATTTTTCATTATTTGGGGGAAAATAGGAAAATATAATATGATCTGATATTTTTAAATTCAAAGCAATGACTGTAGAGGAACAGTTTAGTTCATGTATAAAACAACTAAAAAGTTATCAAATGATGTAAATTAACTGAAGGCCTCCTTTAAAATTCGTATTCATTTCAAAATCGTAGCATGAGATAGAACATATTTCTTGGTTAAAATCAAATTTTCGAATAAACATCAACGTGCTCCTGCAAGGTAAAAAGGGAAAAGAAAGCATAACATCTTTCATTTGGGATGAGAAAAAAATGTCCTATGCAAGGTTTAAGTTTAAAGACACCTAAAATAAAAAAAGATCAATCTTGATGATTAGGATGAAATTAGCTACTCTTATCTTTCCCTAATTTTAAAAAGATTGTTGTGGGAAATACAATATGAAAACTGCTCTTTAAATGACCATGCACTCTTATTATCCATGTGTCTACTTAAAATCAAAAGAAGTATAGTTTCTCTCATTACAGCTCCAATATTTAAGACACCCTCGCTTATTTTGGCCGTACGTTTACTTCTGTTCACTCTCAATTTAAAATAGACTTCTAAGATTTTCCTCTCCAATTACTACATGTCTTCTCTGTTTCTTTCCTTGTTCACCTTTGATCTCTTTTTTTAAGAGCAAGGAGTCATTGCAATACTAAAAAAACTGTTTAATAGAGTGTGTATAGGCATGTTATCGGATTCGACTTTTTAGCTTACCTTCACATGTAGTCCCAGTCCAGCCATCAGCACAAGCACAAGAAAAGGAGTTGTCTCCATCAGTGCAAACTCCTTCATTCTTACAAGGAACGACAAGACATTCGTCGATATTTTCTGCAAAATGAGTTCCAAAGATAAAGAATTCGATAAAAGTGAAAAGAAAATAATTCCCATTACTAGATGTTTTCTCCATTTCTTTCCATGTTCACCCTTGATCTCTTTTTTAAGAGCAAGGAGGCATTGCAATACTAAAAAACTGTTTAATAGAGTGTATATAGGCGAATAAACGTTAATGTACCCGTACAAGAAAAAAGGGAAAGGAAAGCATAACATCTTTCTTTTGGAATGAATAAAGAATGTCCTATGCAAGGTTTAGGTTCTTTCTTTGTTCATCTTTGTTTTGTTTTTTGTTAAAAGAGCAAGGAGGCATTGCATTACTCAACTGTATGAATGTATATAGGCACGTAATCTGATTTGACTTCATAGCTTACTAGGACTACGTGTGAGGGTAATACATGTATATGCGCATGCTGTCATTTACAAGGATATATTAACTGTATGCATATGGTTCTAAAAAGGGCCCTTTCGCTTCAGATGTGATCTAATTTGCATTTTGAATTTGCAGAATTCTAATAAACCAAAATTATTTGGATCTACAACTGTGAAGGAAAAGACCATGTGAAAGAAGAGTCTCTAATCTCTTTAAGGCGTGCCTTTATATTGTAATTGCTATCATTTATCAAGTTCAGTAATTTGCATAATATGCCTCACCAAAGAATGAATAGAACGGTTTGTCATAGACACGCATGATCAGTGGACGTTCACGCTGTTCTCGTCCACTCAATCTATGAAGTCCCTAATATGGTTTGCATAAATAGGCGTTACAAAAAATAAGGGTGTTTCATCAACATTTTGTCGGTGGTATTCACCGTCTCATATCATTTTCACAGACAATTTCATCATCACCGACTAATTTCCAAATAGCGCAGATATCTTTTAGAGTTTATAGGGGGGTAATACATTCACCGCCAATTCCCATTTGCTTTAAATGTGCTGAAAATCACATGAAATGTAGATTATTATATATCTCATCGAATGCAGGGTGCACAAATTGTCGCAGCCGACATTAAAAAGGTCTAATTTGAGCGAATATCAACCAATGTCGAGAACAAACCTTAACGAATTGCGCATATTACGTGTTAAGTATATAGAAGGGGGGTGAATGCATTCGCCGTCAATTCCCATTTGCTTTAAATGAGCTGAAACTCACATCAAATGTAGATTATTATATACCTCATCGAATGCTGGTTGCACAAATTGTAGCTTCCGATATTAAAAAGATCTAATTTGAGCGAATATCAAACAATGTCGACAACAAACCTTAAAGAATTGCGCATATAACGTGTTGACTATATAGAAGGGGGGGGGGGGGTAATTCATTCGCCGCTAATTCCCATTTGATTTAAATGAGCTGAAACTCACATCAAATGTAGATTATTATATACCTCATCGAATGCGGGGTGCACAAATTGTAGCAGCCGATATTAAAAAGGTCTAATTTAAGCGAATATCAACCAATGTTGAGAACAAACCTTAACGAATTGCGCATATAACGTGTTAAGTATAAAGCAAGGGGGGTAAAAAATTCGCCGCCAATTCCCATTTGCTTTAAATGAGCTTAAACTAACATCAAATGTAAATTATTATGTACTTCACTGAATGCGGTGTGCAAAAATTGTAGCAGCCGACATTAAAAGGTCTAATTTGAGCAAATATCAACCAATGTCAAGAATAAACCTTAACGAATTGCGCATATAACGTGTTGAGTATATAGAAGGGGGGTAAATACATTCGCCGTCAATTCCCATTTGCTTTAAATGAGCTGAAACTCACATGAAATGTAGATTATTATATACCTCATCGGATGCGGGGTGCACAAATTGTAGCAGCCGATATTAAAAAGGGCTAATTTGAGCGAATATCAACCAATGTCGAGAACAAACCTTAAAGAATTGCGCATATAACGTATTGACTATATAGAAGGGGGGGTAATGCATTCGCCGCCAATTCCCATTTGCTTCAAATGAGCTGAAACTCACATCAAATGTAGATTATTATATACCTCATCGAATGCTGGTTGCACAAATTGTAGCTTCTGACATTAAAAAGATCTAATTTGAGCGAATATCAAACAATGTCGAGAACAAACCTTAAAGAATTGCGCATATAACGTGTTGACTATATAGAAAGGGGGGTAATGCATTCGCCGCCAATTCCCATTTAATTTAAATGAGCTGAAACTCACATCAAATGTAGATTATTATATTCCTTATCGAATGCGGGGTGCACAAATTGTAGCAGCCGACAATAAAAAGGTCTAATTTGAGCGAATATCAACTAATGTCGAGAAAAATCCTTTAAGAATAGGGCATATATTATTCAACGTATATAGCAAGTGGGGGGTGGGGGTAAAACATTCGCCGCCAATTCCCATTTGCTTTAAATGAGCTAAAACTAACATAAAATGTAGGTTATCATATACCTCATTTAATACGGGGTGCACAAATTATAGTAGCCGATATTAAAAAGGTCTAATTTGAGCGAATATCAACCAATGTCGAGAACAAACCTTAACGAATTGCGCATATAACGTGTTGAGTATATAAAAGGGGGGTAAATACATTCGCCGTCAATTCCCATATGCTTTAAATGACCTGAAACTCACATGAAATGTAGATCATTATATACCTCATTGAATACGGGGTGCGCAAATTATAGCAGCCCATATTAAAAAGGTCTAATTTGAGCAAATATCAACAAATGTTGAGAACAAACCCTTAAGAATTGCGCATATAACGTGTTGGGTATAAAGAAGGGGGGGGGGTAATGCATTCGCTGCCAATTCCCATTTGCTTTAAATGAGGTAAAACTCACATGA